TATATAAAGTATTTATCATTAAAGAATAAAGTTGATTCATGCATTTTTTAAAAAGTTATAGCAACATAATGTTAAAAAAGAGGAAATTATTTAGTACTTAATAGAATTATTTTGCTATNAAGAGGAAATTATTTAGTACTTAATAGAATTATTTTGCTATGTCAATACTTTTAAATAATCAGTGACACATTTATCATTACATTTCTTCGATTAATTTTTTAATTATTATTATTATTACTTGAAAAATTCACAGAAATATTGTAGTAAAACTTAATTTGACCTTATAGTTACATTTTAATTTAAATACATAGTATAAAACACACAAAAAAAAAGTAAAAGTAAACGAAAATTATTAATGACTTGTTAAAATTGTTAAATAATTTATATTTCCTAATAAATTAGGAAATAGCATTTAATATTAATAAATATGAAATTCCTACGACAGTGGCGTAATAATGTAGCTTTAAATAAAAAAAACGGTAGCACAGTGGGGTCGAGGCACAGTGTGGACGAGGCATAGATGGGACAAGTATAGATGATATCTGACAGTGATTAAAATCACTATCATAAGAAACGCTTCGATGCAAATCTGTAGATAGTGTTTCCTTTAGAGAAATTGGTGAAATATTTTAAAAGCAACATGAACTCTTATTTCTTTAATTATATCCTGATTAGTAGTTCTTTGATTTTAAAATATAATATATGAATAAATACTAATTATAGTTTTTAAATTTAGTATGAAATTGTGAGGCCAGCTATGATGTATGGTTAATAGTGTTGGGCGGTTGATAAGAAAGTAGAGCAGAGAATAAGTGTAGCAGAGATGAGAATGCTTAGTTGGATGAGTGGAGTGACTAGAGAAGATAGGATAAGGAACGAGCATATAAGAGGAAGTATAGGTGTTGCGTCAATCGTGGATAAGATGACAGAAAATAGACTTAGATTGTTTAGTCATGGTATGAGGAAAGAAGAATCGAAAGCTGTAAGAACAGTTATAGAAATGAATGTTGAAGGAAGAAGAGATAGAGGAAGACCAAAAAAGAGATGGAGGGATGCTATTGAATGCGATTTGAGGACAGCTGATGTGAGCGTAGAAGATGTGGGAGATCGTGTCAAGTGGAATCTTAGGATAAGGGTGCCCGACCCCAAGTAGTTGGGATTAAGGCAAAGAAAAAGAAAAATATTACCAGATATTCCGGTGGCAATTGACATAATATGATTGTTATTTCGGAATGTACAATTTAGCGTTTAGTTGGGTTTAAATAATATAGCGTCAAATCAATTACCTACTCTATCGGTTGTATCTCAATATACACTACACTTTAATGATACAATAAATAAATAAACTCACACATACACACATATGCATTTATAACATTGTGTCTAATGTAAGTATAACATGATAAAAAGTAACCGTAAAATGAAAAAAATGGAATATAAATTTTATTACTCATATTAAATGTAATGTAACTCGAAAAATATTTGTTTAAATGAAAAAATATAAGATTATATTTTTATTTATAATTGTCTTTTAAACAACTTTTGTGCGAAACTTTTTTTTGTAA